TGGCCACATCAAGAATCTCGGTGATCTGATGCAACAATATCGGGATCGCGCGATACGGGACATCCAAATCAAGATGTCCCACGTGCTTGAAGACCTGAACCTTGAAGGCATGGCTTACGCAGCTGGTGCGGGCCTGAATACGACCAAGAAATGCCTCGAAGGCACCAGGACAGAAATTTTGAAGGATATCATCAACTGGATTACCACATGTGACGTCAATGCCCCTCGTATCTTGTGGCTCCACGGGCAGCCCGGAAGAGGAAAGTCTGCCATTGCCCATACAATCGCATCGTGGATCAAGGATGTGAAAGCACCCGGCACTTGTTTCTGCTTCGCTCGCGACAGGCAGGCCGAACGACGGGAGGAAAAGATTCTGACTACTATCGCCCGTGATCTGGCGGATCGTGATCCGGCATTTCGACGGGCATTGTCGAATGTGGTGTCAAATGACCACTCTCTTAAGACCACATGCGATGTATTACAGCAGTGGAAACGATTCATCTTGGAGCCGCTGTCGGAGATTAATGGAGAGATAGTTGGGAATGTGGTCGTGGTAATCGATGCGTTGGATGAAAGTGGGCCGGAGACGTCGAGGAGGGAAATCTTGGGCCTCCTGAAATCATCAGAAGCTGCGCAGCTGCCAGCCAATTTCCGGATCCTTTTGACGTCCAGACCATTGCCGGACATCGAACGTGTCATGAGGGATGTTCAACACGTGAAGGCAACCTCATTGGACGACGTCCCTCGGGAGTTGGTGGAACGTGACATCCAGCTATATGTTTCCAAGGAACTTGACCGTTTCCCCAGCATTGGAGCAACGGAAGTCCAGAATGTCGTCAAAAAATCTGATGGTCTGTTCGAGTGGGCTCGTCTGGCTTGCGAGTTCATCAAGCCAGGTAAAGCTGGAGAAACTTCGAAAGAACACTACGACAATCTGATGGCTTTCGAGTCAAAAGAAGGAAGGACACTTCTGGACACGACTTACTTCGAAATCCTGAAGGTGGGCATACCTGAATCTGGGAGAGGCCTGGAACGATATCACTCCGTTATGCGGCAAATCATGATGACGCTCGAACCTCTTCCTATGGCAGCCTTGAATTCGATGCGTGAAAAATTCCCAAACAAGCTGGAGCACTATGACATTTTTCTCATCCTCGAGTTCATGTCTCCGGTGCTGAGTGGCATTGTGGACCGCGTCTCTGCTGTGCGGCCCCTTCATGCATCCTTCTATGACTTCCTGACGGATCATTTGCGGAGCGGTGTCTACTTCATTGACGCCTCTGACACACAGCATACAAGAGACCTGGCCTTTGCTTCATTGCAGATTCTTCATGATAACCTTCGATTCAACATCTGCGAATTAGAAAGCTCCTACCTTGCCAATTCTGAAGTTTCTGATCTGTCAAAGAGAATCAAGGAGAAGATTCCACATCATCTCTCCTACTCCTGTCGATTCTGGGCTCAGCATCTGAGGAAGACAGGATTTGACTTGGAACTTGCAGGGTTGGTGAAGGCTATTGTTGGAAGTGAAAAGATTCTGTTCTGGCTGGAGGTATTAAGTCTTCTGGGGATAGTTGGGAAGGGTGTAGATGCTCTTGGTACTGTTGCAACATGGCCACAGGTGAGTACCCTATGTATGGTATTTGATGACATCTGACACAGAAATGAAGGGTCAAGATGGCTTGAAGGATATATTGGCATTGGTAAAAGATGGAATCAAGTTAATTCAGAATTTTGGCAGTGTGATAGTGCACAGCACTCCACACCTGTATGCTTCTGCATTGCCATTTATTCCTTCCAATGCATTGCTATCAATGATGCTCTTGCCAAAATTCCCAAGCCTGGCTAGAGTTACTGTAAGAGGGTTGAAAGGGTGGCCAGTGGAACAACAGCTGCTATATGGCCATACTTCTAGAGTTGAATCAGTTGCATTCTCCCCTGATGGGAAGAGGATTGTCTCAGGCTCTTGGGACAAGACTGTGAGGGTCTGGGATGTTGAGGGAGGTGTGCAGATTGGCAGCCCTCTTGAGGGTCATACTTCTGGAGTCTTTTCAGTTGCATTCTCCCCTGATGGGAAGAGGATTGTCTCAGGCTCAGGGGACAACACTGTGAGGGTCTGGGATGTTGAGGGAGGTGTGCAGATTGGCAGCCCTCTTGAGGGTCATACTTCTGGAGTCTTTTCAGTTGCATTCTCCCCTGATGGGAAGAGGATTGTCTCCGGCTCTTGGGACAACACTGTGAGGCTCTGGGATGTTGAGGGAGGTGTGCAGATTGGCAGCCCTCTTGAGGGTCATACTTCTGGAGTCTTTTCAGTTGCATTCTCCCCTGATGGGAAGAGGATTGTCTCAGGCTCAAGGGACAACACTGTGAGGGTCTGGGATGTTGAGGGAGGTGTGCAGATTGGCAGCCCTCTTGAGGGTCATACAGATGGAGTTGAATCAGTTGCATTCTCCCCTGATAGGAAGAGGATTGTCTCAGGCTCTTGGGACAAGACTGTGAGGGTCTGGGATGTTGAGGGAGGTGTGCAGATTGGGAGCCCTCTTAAGGGTCATACTTCTGTAGTTGAATCAGTTGCATTCTCCCCTGATGGGGAGAGGATTGTCTCAGGCTCTTGGGACAAGACTGTGAGGGTCTGGGATGTTGAGGGAGGTGTGCAGATTGGCAGCCCTCTTGAGGGTCATACTTCTGGAGTCTTTTCAGTTGCATTCTCCCCTGATGGGAAGAGGATTGTCTCAGGCTCAGGGGACAAGACTGTGAGGGTCTGGGATGTTGAGGGAGGTGTGCAGATTGGCAGTCCTCTTGAGGGTCATACTTCTAGAGTCTTTTCAGTTGCATTCTCCCCTGATGGGAAGAGGATTGTCTCAGGCTCAGGGGACAAGACTGTGAGGGTCTGGGATGTTGAGGGAGGTGTGCAGATTGGCAGCCCTCTTGAGGGTCATACTTCTAGAGTCTTTTCAGTTGCATTCTCCCCTGATGGGAAGAGGATTGTCTCAGGCTCAGGAGACAACACTGTGAGGGTCTGGGATGTTGAGGGAGGTGTGCAGATTGGCAGCCCTCTTGAGGGTCATACTTCTAGAGTCTTTTCAGTTGCATTCTCCCGTGATGGGAAGAAGATTGTCTCCGGCTCTTGGGACAACACTGTGAGGGTCTGGGATGTTGAGGGAGGTGTGCAGATTGGCAGCCCTCTTGAGGGTCATACTTCTGGAGTCTTTTCAGTTGCATTCTCCCCTGATGGGAAGAGGATTGTCTCCGGCTCTTGGGACAACACTGTGAGGCTCTGGGATGTTGAGGGAGGTGTGCAGATTGGCAGCCCTCTTGAGGGTCATACAGATGGAGTTGAATCAGTTGCATTCTTCCCTGATGGGAAGAGGATTGTCTCAGGCTCAAGGGACAAGACTGTGAGGCTCTGGGATGTTGAGGGAGGTGTGCAGATTGGCAGCCCTCTTGAGGGTCATACAGATGGAGTTGAATCAGTTGCATTCTCCCCTGATGGGAAGAGGATTGTCTCAGGCTCAGGGGACAAGACTGTGAGGGTCTGGGATGTTGAGGGAGGTGTGCAGATTGGCAGCCCTCTTGAGGGTCATACAGATGGAGTCTTTTCAGTTGCATTCTCCCCTGATGGGAAGAGGATTGTCTCAGGCTCTTGGGACAACACTGTGAGGCTCTGGCAGAATGAGCAGTTGGCACTGATTGTATCCCACCCCTCCAGTATGCTTCATCCATTCCCCCCTGCAGATGGTATGTACCTCCACCTGTGACCTATCCTTATTTCACTTAATAAAAATGCAGATGCCAAGAGATATCCCATTTGCTTTTCATTTGACCCCTCACATGCACTGCATAATAGCAATCCACTTGTTGATGGGTTTGTGCAACAGCAGGCTATGCTGGGCGAAGCAGTCAAGTTACATGATGATGGCTGGATCAGAGGCCCAAAGGGACAACTACTACTTTGGATCCCCCCAAAACTTAGGAGTCCATTTTACTCAATGTGGACCATACAAGTCATTCCTAGAGGTTGTTGCACAGAGTTGGACTTGAGTCAGATGGCCCATGGCAAGGAGTGGTGCAAATGTTTCCATTCCAGTGAGCAAATGATGTCTTAAATTGTATTTTTATGTTGGGTATACTTGCTGCTGTACTGCCACATATTAGTTCATCCCCTATGCTTTTCCAATGATCATTTTACCTGCTAATTGTACTGATGTCCTCTGATATCACATACCACATGTTATCATGCCCCACTTTCAATCACAATTCATGATGTACTACCTGGTGAGAAGTGCATGTTACAGCCAAGTACAGCATAATAATTCACCAAGGGGATCCCTTAACTAGTAACCATGCCCCCAGCCAATATCACTGTGGCAGTTTCAATGTTATCACATGCTCTAAAGAGTATTCCAAAGTGAAAATAGCATATTTTCTTATGAATCAAATTATGAGACTCTTGTAAATCTTGATTTCAAGCAAACATATAAAATTTATCCAAAGTCTATACTGTGAGAAACATTGAGATATGTATCTGAAGACAATTGGAAATTATATATTGCAAGAATGTCACAAGGTTATTGACAATAATATCTTCCTAAAAAGCTGGTAACAACAGTAAAAGTTGAAACTTGGAAATCACTTCATAGGGATGCATAATTCAATATTATGCAATCCATTCTGAGATTATCAAAACATAAGATTATCTGCATCATCAAAAGGTGTTACCAAAGTAAATAACTAAATATCAGTTCCAAGATGCTCAGAAGACATCAGGCAGAGAGCAGGCCAATGATTGGCCAGTGACTGCCCAGTGGTCTCCATATTAGGCATTCTTTTTGTATCTCCAATGCAATTAAGCATATCTAGGTGATGGTATGATTGGCTAATCTCTAGTAATGGTACTGGAAGGAAGCATGCAACCCAGGCAGCATGTAATATAATGATGGGGAGTGTGCCCCCTTTGTTGTTATAGTTGTAGGCAAATTGACCATTCTAAGGGATAGACCTCATTTGGTCACTTTCATGTCCAGAGGCATATCAACATGGCTCACAAAGGTGACATCTATGTACAGATCCTACATCTGTCTACATGATGTGACTATATGAAAGCACTGAAGGAATGTCAGTAAATCGATCATGATTAGGCTGAATGGCCTATCTTGCAGCATCAATGAGTCATGCAGCAATGACCAGGCAAACATCATATAACAGGAGCTGAGTCCCATTCTCTAATACCACCCCTTTCAGGGTTTTTTTAGTTTGACATTTACTGATGTGGTGAATTTCACCTTTGAGTGCACCCTTCAGTATTAGGCAGTGCTGACCAGTACTTGTCAGGTTGGTGGGAGACAAGTCGCATGCCAGAATAGTGTGATGTTCAATGATGGTGCTTACAGTGCTTGAGGTCATGGTGGCTGACACATGCCCAGGAGGTGCCATGCCATGCTTCTCCAAAAGGAGATGATCTGGAATGGTGGTGTGAGCCACTCACTTGCCCAGGGTCCCACAATTGTAGGCAAGCCTGACTCTCAAGCAGACATGCCACTTGCTGAAGTTACAGAAGTTGTTGTCAAAGAGCCAGGACATGCATCCTAAACAACAAAGTTAAGAAAATGTGTAGCAAGGGGGGGAGAGAATCAATGTACCATAGTCAATGCTCTGTTGCTCCTGCTCACTGCAACATTGCACATTGACATCATTGGGGGTGGTGACCCAGGGGTTGCTTGGACCTGGATCCACTGAGGGAGTTTCGCTTGGTGGCAGAGGTGGAGTGATGCTGCGAGGTTGAGATTCAGGTATGACACTTCCCTGTCACATATGATTGAATGCCACCAAGCACAAGAAACCTAGCAGTGTCCCATCAAGCAACATGCCAAATCTAAAAAGGGAATATCAGTGCATGACCCTTAGCAATGAAGTGACTTACCTGGAGATGACTGCAGTATTTTTGAATGTCATTGTGCTGGAATGGATTGCAACTGTGCATGAAGTTTGGCCTACTGATCGCAGCATCCCACTGTATCCCTTATTCAGACCTGAGATGATCCATACTTCACATCCAATATGATGTTCTGCATCATGAAGGGAGTAGTCCCTTAATTTAGCACAGAAGTTGATAGGGATGTTGCACTATGATGCCATTAGAGAGATGGGATGACAGGCAAAGTAGAACCACATACCCATGGACTGTCTTCAGACTCCAGTGTAAGAGTTGCGGTGATCAAGTCAATGCTGCAAACGACCCCTTCAACATCTACAGCAGGACCACATATGACTTGTATTAGGTTGCCTTTAGATATGTCTCACCCCTTCTTCTTCGAGAACTGCAGAATTGGTCGAGCTGTCACTTGGATGTCATCCAAGCTGACAATGATCACCTCATTGTCAGCCCCATCACCATTGCTGTCCTCACCAGGAACCTCTGGTACTTGAGCCTTGGACTTGCCCTTGTCCCCCTTGGCATCTTTGTTGTTGAACACCTTTTTGATGTGCTGTGTGACCAATATTTGTCTGAGGCTGTGGGAGAAGTATTGCACTCAGCCTGTGAGGCCCCTGTAGGGTCTGGTGAGGATCCATACTGCATCCCCTGGCTCTATGAAGTGCTCTTCAACTGGGGGATGGCATCGCAGTTGATCATGGGGGTCTCAGTTGGGATAGCTCAGCAGCACTCTGTGCAATGCCAGGAAGATTGTAGAGATGTCCATCTATGAGCAAGTGTCAGCAAAGGATTTTACTCTGAATACCCTGACTTTCCTGTTGTCTGTCATTGCCACACAATAGAGCCATGTCCTTGATCATGTCGACACTAAGTACCATGCCCTCAAAGCCATGATGAGGGCTGGCAATGACATCTACTGAATTGCCACTGCGAAACTTGCATTTGAAGTTGTAAATTGAAATCTCCAGAGATGCAGGCAATTCCAGGGTAGGATCACAGAAGTATCTATACAAGTAACTCAGTCGCATGCAGACAGTGACAACATCTATATATATCTACCTATACAAGTAACTAGGTGCGCAGTAAGCATAGTAAAGTAAGTGGAAGGATATCATACTCACCTCAGTCGCGCGCAGACAGCGACAATGTCTGAGGTGATGGGGTCTACAGTGCAGAACTAAATACTGTAATGTAACAATAGAAGTGAAACACCGGGTGTTGAACCCGTTTACAATAAGTATTGTCTCATTGTGAGATGCACTACAGTCTTCGTGGATAACAAGAGGACTCGCACATAAGTGCGAGACACTGTAAATACAATAAACATAAGGACACGGAGAGTTAGTTTGTGCGTTCAGTAATAGTGTTGAGTAAGAAAAGGGGCTAAAGCGGAAATTAGTTCTCATGACCCAGAGCGGATGCGTTCGGAATGGGCTACGTGCAACTTGCCAAATCTAACACTCCCCCTCAAGTAGGACGTAGACTGAGTTCAACAGTGAAGTGCTTCACCTTGGGCAATGGTAAAGCTTTAGTCAGGGTGTCAGCGACCATGTGGGGCAGTAGATTAAGCAGATCTTGCTGTTTTCAACGACCCAGCAGATGAAGTGGAAACAGATATTGATATGTTTGGTGTGTGTGTGATATTGATGACCTTTGGTGAGCATGATAGCTGATTGATTATCTGAGAACAACGTGGTTGGTTCAGCGAGTGGCCCAAACAGCTCGCCGATGAGTGACTGAAGCCATAAGGCTTCCTTGGCCGCTGTGAGTCAAAGTGAGGTTCAGTGGTGAAAACCAACCAAAACCAACACAAAAGACAATGAAAGCGAGTGGTGGTGTGCCTATGCAGTACCTAGATGGTAGAACCTGTTCTTTGGGAGGGTTTTTGCAAGCTACAACACTCAAAGATGAGTGCTGAGGGTTTGGGGAGCTCCTGATGAAGAGGGAGCAAGAATGTGATAGAAAGCAATAGGGTAGACTGCTGTCAGCCTACAGAAGGATGGATGGTGACTTAATTCGATGTCCTAAGCTGTACTGAGCTCAGGGAGGGCTTGGAGCGAAGTATATGGATGATAGATGATGATAAGCGAAGTAGATGATAGCTAGACCCTTAATAAAGTCTCAACTATCAAAGCTGATGAATGATTTACTGAGAGATGATAAATTGTGAGCAAGAGGGGCTCTCTGATGTCTTCTTTTTTTTTTTTTTTTCTACCTAAGTACAGTGACTTATATACAGCACAGGGGCATTGCCTATGGAAAACAAGGTGCAAACACTTGGTAAGTGATTGGTAACTGATGAGTAAGGAATGTAAGCAATGGGTAATTGTCTTGGAAAGCATTGGTAAGCATTGGTAAGGATAAGTAAGCCAAAAAGTGAAGAATCAGTAAGCAAAGTCAAAAGATTGGTAAGTATTGGCAATAGGTGAGTCAAAGACAGTCAGAATGTCACAGTATGAGTCAAGCAATGTCAGGAACTGGGAAAGTGCACTGGAATCACATTAGGGGGAGGCCGTGCATGTCACATCTCGAAGAGATCACTTCTAGGCCAAAGTGGGATGACAGAGAGGCAGCGCTGATCTGATGCCAATATAGTACATCCAAAAGTGGACAGGGTGAGTCAGATGTCAACAGGGGTCAAGCTTTGGGGGTCTGTGGGGTGACAGGAGCATAGGGGATCGCAACTTTCCCCCCCAAACCATCCTCTCAGTGAAGCAAATAAAAACTTCATGAATGAGGCTCTGTTGGAAGAGAGGATGAAGGGGGAGCATCTTCTGCTGTATCTTGCAACAAGGAGGCAAGATGTGCATCATACTCGTCATGGATGCGATCAGGGAGAGTGGAGATCAGTAGATTATACTGTAGCTGTCACAATTTTGGAAGAATGACGGACGAGACTGGTATGAAGATGTTGCAGGGGGCAGGGAGGAAGGATCCATATGCTTCTTGGACTGGAGAGACTGAAACAACCACATAAGACCTTTCCAAGCAAATGACAGACCTGAGGCGACCAAAGAACGTCCTCCTGGAGGTCATACTGACAAGAAGAACATGCTGTCCAAGCTGGATGGGCTGAGAGGGGGCAGATGAGGGTGGGATGTACCAGGATGCTTCAGGACAGAAGCTGGTAGGAACTCCTGGTAGATATATATAGCCATGGTCCCTAGCAAAGGGGACAAGCAAAATGACTGATGTGGAGGCAGCCATATCAGAAGAATTAGCGAAATGAGCGTCTTTTGGAGGGAGTGCTGTAGAAACGTGTGGAGTGTGCAAATCCTTTCCAATCTTGGAAGGTAGGATTGCGTGGCTGAGCACTACAAGCGAGTGTGGGAATGGTTTCGGTGTCTGCAGAATTGGTGGAGATACATCAAAAACTGGAATGCTGTACATGGGTGCTTAAGAATTTTATTGGCACTTAACTTGCCTCCTCCTTTTTCTTTGGCATTGACAACTTGTTCTTGTGCAAGGGATGACTGCCGACATTGCTGGCTGTCCTTCTTCGCATGAGGGCTATGGTCTTCACCTCCATTCATCAGCTACATCCATGTCCACCTCACCAAACACCTTTGGTGTGTGACATCCACTGGCAAGAAGAAATGCAATTGTCCTTGATTGCGACCAATGCAGGGAACCCAGGGAAGACAGAAAAATCCGAAGGAAATGAAGAAAAGAATGAGAGAGGATAAAGGTAAGAAATCAAAAGAGAAAGGAGATATCATGAATAGTCATCTGAGTTGTAGTCATTTTCATTATTGTGTTCTTGGTTTTCCTCATCTTCGTCTTCATCATCATTTTCATCATCATCATTGCTGTTACCTCCCCCTTCTTCCTGGCTATCTTTTTCCATAACTTCTGGTAAGGGAGTGTGTCAGGAATAACAGGGAATGAGTCGAAACGCTGCAACTCCCCAAGCTGAAATGGTGCCATCAAGTTCTTTAATGACATAGGAACCTCCCTTGGTGTGACGAACAACCTCATAGGGACCAAGGTAGCATGGCTTTGATTTACAATCCAGTTCCTTTTCCACCTGAGTGTTGCGAACCAATACCAAGTCTCCTGGCTCATAAGCAGACTTCACCAATCATAATGCATACCTCCTCTCAAACTGACCCTTGGAGTGCAAATGAGATCTCTGCAGAGTGGTGAAAGCGGCATTGATGTCTTCCTCTCTCTTCTCCAACTGATGAATGCGAAGTGTGAGGAGCTCCTGAGAAGTCATTCCAGACTGGAATCCTTCAACAAGACATGTAGACTCAAAGAGATCAAAGGGCAAGATGGGATCAAGACCGTGGAGCAGGAAGTAAGGGCTGAATCCAGTGGAGCGACGAGTAGTAACCCTGTCTGCAAAGAAAGCATGATGAACCTTGGAAGGCCAGAGCGAAAGGTCTCCTTTGCAAGCCTTGATGATAGCTTCTCTGATAACAAAGTGTCCATGCTCTACAACTCCATTTGCTTTTGAATTATATGGGGAGATGCGAATCTGCAGAATGGAATAGTGCCTCATGAGTTTCTCAAAGGCACCCTTGACCTCACTGCCATTATCAGTGACAACCTGCGCAATAACACCATAACAACAGAAAACCTCTTCCCAGAAGAACTTCGCAAGACTGTCTGCATTAGCATGTCGAAGAGCATGACCTTCTGCAGCGAGGGAAAGATCATCTCAAGCTGCAACAAGATAGCAATATCCACGAGCTTTGGGCATGAGCATGACATTGACATAAACCTTCATGAAGATTCTAGGGGAAGTGGAGATGGTGATGGGGACCTCTGCCTTACAAGTGCTTTGGATCTGGCATTCATGGCAGGAACAGACATGGTGGGCAACATCTTGATAGAGCTGAGGCCAATAAAAGCGCTGTCTGACAGTCTGAAAGACTCCAAAGACTCCATGATGACCAAGTTCTTCATGAGCATGACTGAGGATCTGAGCACAGAGACCTGGGTCAAAGATGACCTTAGCTGGAGGATGGGGGCCTCGATGTTTAAAGAGCTGGTCTCCACGAAGGAAGAACTGGAGGGACCTGCGAATGAAATGCTTGCAGGCAGTGTTGGAAGGGAACGGTGGCAGCTCTGTTGTTCGAAGGAAGTGGAGGATTCTACGTAAAAGGACATCCTGGGACATATCATTGGAAAGGAAGGACGGGAGGGTCATGACATTGTACGGAAGGGGATGGGCTTCCGTGAAAAGAATACTCTCCAACCACTCATCAGCTTCTTCTGCATCAGCCTCGCCTTCCTCATAGTCTTCCTCAGTGGGCTGGCATCTAGAAAGTGCATCTGGGGCTCGATGTCAAATAGCAGGGACATGAACAAGCTTAAAGTCGAAGAGTAGGATACCCTCAATCCAGCAATTGATGGTTGCATTGGGCTGAAGATCTGGATCATTGAGCATACCTTTGATGTACTTCGCATCAACCTCTACCCATAGATAACAAACACCATAGAGATATAGATGATAGTGACGAAGTGCTCTGAAAAGACCATAGAGTTCGAGCTTAGGCTGGCTGTAGCAAGATTCACATTCATTGATGGGGAGCAATCCATAGCGAGCAGGATGTTTGTGACCTTCATCATCATACTGAGACAGAACAAATCCAATGGCGACATTACTAGTATCAACGGAAAGAACGACTGGCAGGTCAGATGAGTAGTCAACGGGGTGAAGGGCAGGAGCGGACGAGATGGCAAGCTTCAAGGCATCAAATGCATCCTGCTGGGCCTGACCCCAGACGAATGGAGCATTCCTGTGATAGAGATCAACAAGTGGGCGAGCCAACTGCAAATAGTTCACAATCCAGATGTGAACAGTACCACAGAGGCCTAGGAAAGAGTGAACATCCTTGGGAGTGGTGAGCGTTGGCCAGTTGATGACCTTCTGCACCTTATTGT